TGCCTTTTTATACATGGTGTTAAAGAAAATTGAGTACTGCAGTTGACAGGTGAACAAGCTACAGTAGCGTATAAATAGTCTTTAAATCCTTTATTCAGGTAATTAGAGAGAAGGGGAAAAACAAGAATTGGGTATGGAAGAAATATTAAAAGTTACTTAGGATTATGAACTCCACTTCTTTAAAAAATAAACTAATGGGAAATAAGAAACCATTTTTCCTTCCTTGCAAAAATAATTTCCTTTAGGAAATTCTTACTAATTTGAGGTAATGATGATTGTACCTTGGATTAACTCTACTCAAGAAATATTTTGGTATTTTGGAAACAGAACTATGAAAGCAAATTTGTGTTACTGCAAATCTTTTACTTACTGGGTGTGTGAACTTGGGAGACTTCCCTTAGTGTGTCTGAAAACCAGGCTCATATTTTACAAAGTGGAAATACTAATGCAAGCTTGTCTTGAGAATTAAATATGACAGTGTTTATGTTGCAAGGTCACACATTTATCTACACTTTTCTCAGATATACAAAGGAGACATAGCTTCTTTGTGTTCTATAACTGGTCTGTGCTTTCTCTGAGCCACCTCACTTCTCACCTCACAAGAGAACAAAGAAAAAAGGCACTAACAGCAGAATATGAGAAATTCAATCCCACCCAATATTTAAATACTTTTTTTGGTAACTAAATACCTTTTGAAAAAAGTTATTCTTTTATATTTCCTTCCCATTCCCTGCTTCTTTCCAAAACGGGATAAAGGGCAATTGTTAAGTTTTACTCCAACTGGCTCTAACCACCTAAAACTGATAAGGAACTATGAACATTGAGTAACTGTGGAATGTTAGATCTCTCTTGAGCCTAAGAAAACACTGTCCTAATCACTGAAACATCAGGCTTGTGTTAACTACCAATCCAACTATGAATTCAATCCATCTTACCAACCATACTAAAATCGTAGTAAGTACAATTACCATGAACTCTTCCCATTTAAAATCCCTGCCTTGTCCTCTTCAGTAAATTATCTAGCGGATTTCTTCACTAATAGGTGTTCCCTTCCTTGAATGATATATATTTTAATGTTGAGTATATTTGTTTTGTTCTTTCCTAATGTGTTGGTATCTTCTAAGGCAAGCTTGGTACCACCCCATCTCTGAATCTTCTTGTATTTTCTGGGAAACGGCATGCAGAGCACTTTGGGCCTGTTCTGTTTCCTCAAGGTCTGGTGGTCTTTCCTGACCATTTGGCCCCATCAGGTTCTTAGGGGTTGCTGCAGATGCCTTTTCTTTTCCTGATGTAGTAGTCTGCTATCCATCTTTCAGACAGGGTCCCATTACCTGAAGCCTTGATGATATACACTGGCAAGTTTCCCAGGCGGATCCTGAGCTCACTTGCACATCCTTGCCTAGCAGCCGGTGGAAGGACAGTGGTGCTTCCACAGTGCAAGGTACTATCACTGTCTCCAGAGTGCCTTCTATTAGCCAGTCCTGACATGATACTATTTTTTCCTCGGGTACAGTTGTCACATGTGCATAACTGGTGTAGCCTTGGTGGTTCCTCAAGGATGCAGGACAGAAACTACTCTTTCCTGTATTATTCCTTTTAACCTAACTAATATAATCTCCCCTTCTGGGACCCTAGTCTAGAGAGCAGAGGTTATGACATAAATCTTTTGCCATTGTCTCCCCTGTTTTCCTCATCCCTAACAGTATCAGCTTTTTTTGGTTTGCTTTCCTACCAAAGAACAATTCCTTCAAAGTCTTCCAAGCTCCAAACTTAGAACTTTTTCTTTTCTTATGACTTTATTTGAGAGAGAGAGAGAGAGAGAGAGAGAGAGAAAGAAAACAAGCAGGGGGGGAGCAGGCAGAGGGAGAGGGAGAAGCAGGCTCCCCGTTGGGCACAAAGTCTGACATGGGGCTTGATCTCAGGACCCTGGTTCATGACCTGAACCAAAGGCAGATACTTAACTGAGCCAATGAGGTGTCCCCGTTATGACTTTTTCTAAAGAATGAGTGGAAGATGGGGAGAGAAACTGGCTTAATGGCAATTCAATATAAATGGGCAGGCATACAGAAAATATTAAAATCTCTTTACTTGTGAAGGATCTGGACTATAGGAATATTTCAATATTTATAATTATGATTATTATGCTGTCTAGATAGCTAGCTTCTAACATGGCCAGATACCAAGTATGGGTTTCCTAGCCCCAGATTATAGTCAGGAAATAATTTAATGACACTTAACTACAAGAGGTTTCTGGATTATTTGCCAAATTTCTAGGGCATCCACTGAAGAGCTACAGATGGAGAAAGAATGCCGCAGGGCTCGCCTGGGACAAGTAACCCACAAGAAAAGAGGCTATAAGAAGCTTGAGCCACAGAGATTCATTATTTTCATTTTTGTGTGTGGATGTGGTAATCAGATTTGCTATGGATTGAGGGAAATTATTTGTAAGAAGCTTCTTGCTTTTCTTAATGAGACTTGTTTTTTAGATTTTAAACCTCAGTGTATCATTTGATTTATAACAAAGGTCAAATGTGTACAAAACAACTGATTCTAACCTTTCAGAGGGACTAAATAATAGGACTAATTGTTTTGTAGAAAAAGAACATATACAACACATATTCTATCTGTGAAAAACCTGGAGTCTTATCTAAGAATTACAAATGAATAAATATATCTTTGCTAAAATATTATGCATGTGTGTGCTACTATATACCCGTTACACTATTTTAAGCAAATGAAGAGTTTGGTTAGCTATTCCACAGATTCACACTGACTATAATCCTATCCTTTCCATGCCAATCCAAACCAAATATTAGCATAATCAAGGAAGGATCTGGTATTAGCCTTTTGCCTCCTAGATACAAGTATCATTATTTTAATTAAGTAATATGATCATTATATTATCAGTCTATTTCAAGATTGCTCTTTTCCAAATTTCAAATAGTTGACATCTACTAAATTTAAAGAACCAGCCCAGGATAATGTAGTCATTCTCTTATACGTCATCCACTCCATCATTAGTACTTTCCGGATGCTTCTCTTAAAACATCTTGAATATTTCTGGGTTCCCACTTCCCATCATGTATTTGTTAACTCCTGTTTCTAGTGTCCTAGATCCAGCTTTTCTAGAAGAAATTCCTCCAGATTTAGTGCTGCTTGGTCTTCCTATAGAAAGTACAAACTGTGTGTACCTCTGCCTGGATCATCAGCTCACACTATTATTATCCATTTACTGTTTCCTCCACGAGGGTGCTATTTCCTCCATTATTTTCTGTCTTATATGTCCCTTTCAATTACAACTTCTGTCTTTTTAGAAAGTGGCTTGCTATTTTCTGTCTTCCCAACATTGTCCGGAAGTCGAATCATTTTTTTTTCTTGCATCCTACAAATCCTGGATTGCAAATTAAGCTGAAAGAATGAGGCAAGGATAAAAATAGTAGAACATGTGGTCTGGTTCAAGATAATGTGCCACTGAGCAGAATGAGTCAGTAATATACCATCACTTTCTCTTCAAGTATCCAAGCTGAAAGTAAAAGTATGTACTGTTAACTAGAAAACATCACATCTATAATGTATATTTTCCCTTAAAGAACAGTTTTTCCTCATACCTGGCTACCTGCCTGCCAAGTTTTAGCCCCTTTTAGTAACCAACTTTGATTTCCAGAGGTAGTTTAACCCCACTACCTCAAATGCCTTCAGACCTCAGCATGTGCAAATTTTCCGGAGGGTCATCTAAAGATGAGATCATCTAGCCAAGGGAAATAAAATCAGACCAGAGGTATGGATTTTGATCATCAGAGGATTTGAATTTCCTTTGCAGTCATCTGATTTATAATTCCAAGAAATTATTTTCTGCATTATCCCAGAAAATGTTGACCAGACAGTGAATGAAGTATAGAGAATTTAGAATCAGAGAGACCTGAGTTCAAATCTTAATTCCACGACTACTAAATTATTTTGTAGAAAGGATTGTTTCATATTTCTGAGCCTCAGAGTCCTATCTATAAAACTGGAATAATTTCTCAAAGTATTGCTGTGCCATCAGGGCTCACAATGATCTATCAGAAGTGTTTAGCACATCCCATATCTGGCACATGGTAGGCATATAATTGTAACAGTTCTTTGTACTTCCCTCACAACTTTTCATTCCCTAACTCTCCCATACCTTAGCTCTCAATTCTACCACCAACCTTTTAAGATCCCAGGTTCCCTGGTTTCCAGGAGGTCACAGACATACAAGCAATATAACAGAGAAGTTACTGGTACCCTGTAAAGTCTGTAAAGCAACGTTAACTTCTTTAAATGACAGAGAACATTCTTATTCAAAGAGCCCTAAGCTGAACTGTTTATCTGGGCTCCTTCCACGGTGGCCTGAAATGGCAGCCCACAGTAACTGTGCTGGTTTTCTAACATGTCTCACATCTCATCCTTAGTACTTGTAAGATGTACCCACTAACGAACCCTGAGTGTTACTGGAGTCTCACTTATCACCATATATTCCTCAATGGCTGTTTCTAGTCTCCTTGCTCCAGACTCTTTATAAAGAGAATGATATAAGAAGGCTATTATATAGCATGGCAGGGAAATCATCCTACAGACAAAGATAGCCTAAGTTTCTGAGAGGCTATTACATCAAAATTAACATCAATGATATATCAATTACATCTAGAAACCCATGGCTAATTTTCAACAATACTGCTACCCTCAGAGACTGGGATGCCAAACAACTTAATATTCCAGGTTTTTCTCACTTCCTCTATAGCAGTAGAATCTAAGGTCCTAGGAGATCTCTTTCTTGAGACACTACTCTACTCCTATGGTCCGGAGGAATGTTAGAAATTACTGAAGACACAAGTAAAGAAGAAACCTGAAGAAAACGTTTTCCTGAGAAAAGTTTGTGCTTTTTTTTTTTTTTCCCCCTTCATGGAACTTTGCTTGTGTGAGCTCAAGATTTCTCTCACTTTCTGTGTTCTACACTCAGAACTCAGGTATCTGCTTCCCAACTGGCAGTTCCCTCTCTCTGGAATGAAGGATAAAAGTCAGAAAACAACTGAAGAGCCTTAGGGAAATGAGATTGCCTAGAAGTGGGATGGAAATGCAGGGGAAGGTGAAGTCAGACTATCCAGGACAAAGCTGTTATTCCTGGATTTTTGAAGAAAAGGGAACGAGATGAACTAGTTGCCAGGACAACTGACTGTTGGGGCAAGGAAATGGGAGACCTGTGGTTGCTCCTGCTCCTGCCCCTGTCCCTGGCAGGCTTCCATGGGGTCAAAGGCTGCTTGGAATGTGACCCCAAATTTGCAGAAGATATTGGGTTCTTGCTGGCAGAGATGGTACCCTCAGAAGTCCCGGGCCGAGTTCATCTGCTTGAACGGCAAATTAAGGAGATGATCCGTTTAAGCATCAAGGTCTCCCACAGGGACAAGATGCTTCGGGTATTGGGTGAGGGAAGTTTGAGTCCCTGAGAGTTTTGTGGATTAAAGGGAGAAGGGGAGGCAGGGAAGAGCGCACCTGAGTCCACATAATTTCCTCCACAGATGTAATTATTCCCCTACATGTACCTTTACTTCTCTTCTCTAGCTGTTGATGATGTTATCAAGTTGAGAATATGGCTGAAGAATGAACTTTATAAACTGGGCAATGAAACATGGAAAGGTGAGATAGAGTTTCAATGTTAAAAGACTGTCTTTCCCAAGCAAGTATAAGGAAATTTCCCTTGGAAAAACAAACAATTAGGATTAAATTCTGAAGGGGAAGTCTACCCCTAGTTTCTGACACTCCTTCCACCCCCTCTTAGGTGCCTTTATCCTTCAAGGCAAGCTTCTCGATGTCCGCCTAAACCTGGAATCCAAACTGAAAGAGATGTTAAAGAACTTCTCTGAAGTTGGTAATAAAAGATATCTATCTAACAACACTCAAATTATGTGAAAGGAATAGGAAATGAGGATGAGAGGAGGAAGGTGGTTTCATGTTACAGTTGTTTAGAATGGATGGAGGGGTGGTTGGAACTTCTTGGGTAACCAAATGAAGATTATTGGGTATAAATACAGCAAACTCTGAGTTGACTATAGGCTCATTAGAACTTTCTGATTCTCTTTTAGCTTGTTCTGAAGATTGCGGTGAGTACAGTACATGTGACACCTTAAGAATTCAGTCCATATTTCCCATCTCATTTGCTCTATATGGCCATATCTCTCCTACCTGTCATACTAAGAATCCAATTTCTAGAGTTGGGATTATGGGGGTGGAAATATCAATCAGACCTGACAACAAAATGTGTCTCTCTGCAATCTCAAACATACAGTTTAGAGGAGCTTAGGCCTTCTAAAATATAGTTTATAACCCATAGGACCAATATACACTGAGGCATCATTTTTTCCACTTCTTCCCCCAGAGATCTGACATAAGTTACAGAAGGTTTTGACCCATCAAGAAATTTGATTGTTAGGGGAAGAAGAAATTCACAGCAATGTAACATTAAGAATCCTGGAAATGCCTGAGATCTAATCCATACTTCATGTCTGAGCTAAGAAAACTGCATGCCATGGCCCCCTTCCGTTATTTTTCTTTTCTTTATCAGTCGTGACTGAAGGTCCTATCCTGGATTGTTGGACCTGCCTTCGCATCACCTCCCCATGCTTCAGAGGAGAGTATTGTGGAGGTAACAAAGATTGTAGTATAGCATTTGGAGGGGTCAGGGATCAAAGTACTGAGTTGTCCATTCATTCATTCCACAAATATTTGGTGAGCACCTTCCATACAGATCATGGTAATGTCACAAATGAGAGCTAAATTATTGGGCAAAATTTGTACCAGGATGAATTACTGGGCACTGGATCAATTGAAGGGCTGAGAAATGAAAGAAAAGGTGCTCCACTAAAGGTGGAGAAATTAGGTTGGGGCAGTAAGGGCAACCATTTTGTAGAGCCTAGGGATCTAAGTGTAATAAATAACAGGATAACTAGAAAACAGTGATGGAAGTGATGAGCAGAGCAAATTATCTGATGTTAAAAAGAATCATCTATTATGGATCAAGTTCTCAAGTTAGTATATTTCCTCTCCCAAACTCACTCACCATTTTCCTCTTTCTCCCTCCAGAAGAGGATTCAAAGAAGGCTGAGAATCGAGAGATTGTACTATTTCTGATACTGCTAACAGAAGTTGTGATATTGGGAAGTGCTTTGATACTGTGAGTTTTCCTCCCTCCACACACACACACACACTGAGTCAAGCATTCCTTTGGCAAAGAGACTACCCGATCCCCCCCTTCCAACAGCAATAAGGGGAAAGAAGTCATTTCAAAGTCTGGGATACAATACTGACAGGAATGAAATGGATGGAAGTTTATGGGATAAAAGTTGAACCCCAGGAAATGGAGGAGGTACAATTAAATATGAGGAAAACTCCTGGAGCAGTATCCAGAAAAAGGAGGGAAAAAAAAAACATGGTTACATAATTGTCCTTAAGAGTTGGCCTACTAATACTGAAGTCAGGATTATGTTGTTTCTCTACTCTAGATTCCATATTTGTGTGTTTCATCGGAGGAAAATGAAGGCAATACGAAGGTCATTAAAGAAATATTTGGAGAAGAAACTTGAAGAATTAATGGGGATGACAGATGAGAAGGCAAAGGATGATTTGGGAATCAGATAGTAAATACAATACAGGAGGTCTTTCACAATTCTCTTAAGTGTTGACTCAGAACAGAAAACTCAGAATTAAGCTGTTTTGTGGTCATAAAGTCATAGTGTTTTAAAAAACTGAAAAGGAGGTTCTCTAGTAAAGACCCTTGTGCTATCCTGAGGCAATGGAGGCAATGAAAGGGCAAATGATATACCCAGAGTTGTACAGAATGGAATGCTGGTATGTTGCAATGTACATAAAGATGATACACTGCATGATAATAAAAATGCATGGTTGGTAACTCTCATCAGTGGCTGTAATTAGAGTATTTCAGTTTCTAAGGCTGCTTACTTCTTTTTATTTTCTTACTGTTTCTGTATTCATCATTTGGTTCAACATAGACAATTTCTTCAATAATATGTAACAATTAATCTTCATCATGCTATCTCACACACACATCCAAAATATTAGATCTGAAGAGTTGAGAATTGCCCATTTTTCTCTAAATCTATGTTCCATGACTGAATTGGATATTAATTTATATTCCTTTGAGTTGTTTCTATTGAATACCTCTTATATGGATGGCAGCCTATGAAATGCTTTATATCTATATCTAACAGAACTCTCACAATAATCTTAAAACTTGGACAATCTGGATACTTTTAATACAGGTACAAATTAGTAATATTGAGATAGGAAGAAAAAAATAACCCACAATTGCCAATATTCTTTAAAGAAATTTAAATGGTATGAGCACTACTGAAAAAAAAAGCCATGTGTAAGGAAAAACCTTGAATGATATACAACAGGTTGACTTTGATGTCTACCTGGAATGTGAAACTATGATGTCTTCCCAGATTTAGTGTCTGGTACTTCATTGCATCATTTACTAAAGTAGGGAATACAGGAGAACAAGTAAATTTGATTGAAATGGCCAAAGTTCTGTTTTGAAAATACTAAGTATTGATTTTGTTGTGCTATCAAAAACAGATATTCATTGACTGTTTGGATTTACATTTAAGAATATAGCAAGAAGATCAAAGCTAATGAAATGTATTTCAAAGCACTTGAACAAAGCAAGTAGTGACCCTGAAAGTAAGACTTAGATCTCCAGATAGAAGGTAGAGAATTAAGTCATGAAGACCAAGGATAGATTACTACAAATCCCCACATGATGGTAATATTTAAATATAACTGTTCTATATAGTCTTACTCCTTTAAAAGACTTTGAGATGCTGACCTTGTGTTGAAGTCCCATCAGCTTTAGGACTATTGCTTTTCCAGTGTATGATTCTTCCACCTTACTGTAATTACTTTATAATAAATCCAAGCGTGGTCTTTATCATTTCCAGAATTGCCAGTATGAGGAGGGGCTGGTTGTGTTGTGTTTTTGTGTGTTCGTAATACAATAAAATGAAGATGATCTAATTAAACTGTGTTCATCTACTAGGAAAGGTCTTGTGGTACTTGTTTTCAAATGTAGACATGATACAAAATTAATTGCTTACAATCCCAATTTAAGCGTGAGCTAACAGTTAACATTTATAAAAAGGATATGTAAAACCATTTTCCAAAAAGCAAACACTCAACCAAAAACTCATTGATAGCAATAGTGAAACAATACAGATCATTTTATTACTGGAACAATCATATTTTAAGAGCTAATATATATTCCAATGTCCTGATGTCAACACTGCAGGAAGTTTAGCTCTAATATTTCCATAGGATATATAAATCATTAGAGTAATGTATTTCTCTGATAGTCTAAGACCCTGGCACAGGTAATTTTTTGCAACCCTATCATTCTTGGGGCTACTTTTTTAAGAATCAGTATTTTCCAAGGTTCTTTTGTCTTTTCTCAGGGGAAAAAAAAGGACAGAGGTGAGATTTCACTTGACTTTTACTAAATGAAAATTTAATAATTCATCTTATGTGGAGATAACATTAAAAGGTATTAGCCAATCCAGTTAAGGTACTCAAAACATACATTATTGGAACACAAAAATAAAAGCTAAGAGGATAAAACAATAGCTGGGTTGATATTGGAAGCTTCTTAAATTCCAATAATTGATAGTCTTTCCAACTTCACGCCTTCACATTCTGACACCTTCCATCTCAGGCAAATGCATTCTTTTGTGATTTATGCTTCCTGAGCTGCAGCTTCTTCTAGAATATTCCTTCATTATTTATCTCCCATCACTATCTCCCTCTGCTTCAATACTAGATCTTTCCTCTCAGTGTCTATTACTATAAATTAAGGCCTCTTTTCTTTATCCTTTATCTACTTCTACCTACCACCCCAAATCGCCATGCCAAATTTCTTAAAAGAACATTCTATATCATAACTATTTCTACATTTCTAATCTTCCCTCAAATCACCACAATCTACATTCTGTTCCTCACCGCCATATGGAAATTGCTCTAAGGTTGTCAGTGATCTTTTATTTGTTATATTCAGAGTTCTCTTTATTCCTCAAGTTACTTGTCAGTTCTAAGTCTTTTCAGAGTGCTAATGGTTTCTTTAAGCACACCTCTTACATGAGGCAGGTTTTGTTCTTATGATGGAAACTCATAAAGTTTAAGTGATCTCAACTACCATCTATTAATCCTATCTCCAAATTCTTGGGCTTTTATTTGCACCCCCATTCCCAAGGCCTCAACCTCTGTTTTTGAATACATACTGGATATATCCATCAGACACAAAATAACGGCTTTAAACTCCACATGCCTAAAACTGAAGAAGATACATGTTGAATGTAGACTATAGGCAAGGCAATTCACTAGATTTCATAATTATCTTCCCATAAATCCCACAAAATTATTTTCAGCCATTTTTGTATAGACATAGAAAACTGAGGCTAGGCAAGTTTAAGTAACTTCTTCCAAGTGGTTACTTTTTAAGTGGCAGGGTCAGGATTCAAACACCCAATCTCAAGCCTTTCCACTAGCTAGAAATGGCTCTATGGATACTGTAAATTACCCAAAAGGTAGAAACCTCAGCCTATGCTGGAATCCTCTCTTCTCTTCAGCTATCCTAGCCAGTCAGTCCTCAACTATCATTGATTTTCACTCCTAAATCTCCTAATCTCCCTGGCTACTGCCCTCTTCTCTTAGGGCCTATTGCAATGGCCTTCTAATCAGGCTCTCTGAATCCCACCTCTCCATAAGCCAAATCCATCTTTCCTTTTGCATGCAGAATGATCAGTCTACAAACACAAATTGATTTCAAACTCCTAATTTATATATTCCAGTGGCTCCTCCACTTCTAAAAAAGAAGTATAAACTCTTTCATACAGTGTTTCACATGCCTTCAATTTACCATCCCACCCTATACACAATCTCACCCTTGGTCAATTGCCTTCCTAGGCACATCTCTTTCCTAGACATGAACTCCTCAAGGACAGGGACTATGCCATGTTTATCTTCATATTCCCAACAACTAGCAATGTATCACAAAATTTTGCATTGGTTTAAGTATCACTTATGCAAGGTAGACTTTCCTGGCCCCCTCACCTTATGTTAGCACTTCCAACTACATTGAATCACTGACATTCTTTTTTTTGCTTTGTAGGAATTACATAATCATGAATCAAGTTTGATTCCAAGAGGTCAGAAATCACATCTGCTGTTTGTGCATACAGCTCATTGTAACACCCAAAAAAGAAAAAAATGTATTAGTTGAATACAAATATGAATATATAAATGAAGCATTAATGAATCCTGTTATTTAGAACTGAGCATACCCTAGATATTCTTAATATTACCACATACTTTGTCTGCCAGACTGCCTACTATAACTTCAGTCTTTGAAACATTTGCAGCTTGATGTTCAACACTGCAGTGAAATCATGAAATAAGAGCTACCATAACATTGTTTGGAATTAACACATTCCATGAAATTTTAGATCAGAATTTGAGTAAATACTAAATTTCCAAATCAAGTGCACAGGTCCCTAGTAAGAAACTTACTTGAAGGGCTATGAGAAGTTCTCAGCTCCTTCATGTGTACTTCCGAGGAGCCTGGTTGACTTTGCCCTACCAGCCAGGCTTAATGTCAGCTAGACCAGAAATCTGAAGAAACCCTAAGCTTTCTAAGAGTTCTCAGGAATTTTTAACATTATCTAAATCCAGAAATTATCTCAGAGATCAGCAGACTGAAGCCTATCCTGCCACCCCCTCCCCAAATTACCCTGATTATGGGTTTAAAGTGGAATTTGGATAAAGTGCAGTGATTTTGACATTTAGGTACCTAATGGTCTTAAAAGCGATAAACACAGAAAGCTCTGGAACGTTGCACTGAGTCTTTGCTTTTCCTGACTTCAAGATGAATGTTTTTATTTTTCAAATCACCTAAAAACAGGCTGAATAGCAAGACTGAGTATAAGGACAGTAGCTAGTGTAAAGCCAGAGAATGGAAGTAAATATCTCAAGAATAAATGAAGGGCACTTTGCACTCCACTTCATCTCAAGGAGTTTGCCTAACTTCAAGCCCTTGGGTTTGCATTTTCACATCTAGCACTGCTAACACTGCCAAGTGATTTTTTACTTGCATGCACACCTTCCTCTTAAAGAGGAAACAAATACAAACTCCTTCCAATCAAAAGGCAGCAATGACAGGTAGGCATGTTTGTCTAGCCTCCACTTGGGATGTTTTTTCTGTGAGGCATTGCTCTTAAAACACTTCAAGCCTTTACCTAATGAGGCTTCATCAGTCCACCTGATGAGGTGGCTTTTCATGATTTCTGCTGAAAGTACTAATAAGCACAAGCTCTTCAGGATTCAGAATTCATGTTTTCTCTTTCATCCATACTCTCTTTACCTTACTAATAGTGTCAGAAAATGTTCAACAAGATTTTCTAGTGAATAAAACACTTTCTGGTTGTATCTTTGTCACTTTAGAAATCTATGTGAATAATACTTTCAAGTCAACAAGACATCATTTATTAAGTTGTTGTTTCTATAATGGATAACCTCATTCTGGGCTATGAAACCAGTCCAAAGAGAATTCAAAGAAAGGGGTGAAAAGTATT